ATTAAATGCAATCTACGTTATGGAACCGCTCTCAGTCACATCTTGAAGTACATCGTTACAACACATTCAATATGAGCTGTGTTACTTCGTTTTTGTGTTGTATTAAATGCAATCTACGTTATGGAACCGCTCTCAGTCACATCTTGAAGTACATCGTTACAACACATTCAATATGAGCTGTATTACTTCGTTTTTGTGTTGTATTTTTGCTTAGTTTTCATTATTACACCAGAAGCTCTCCTTAATTTGGTAGGAGACAAAAAAGCTTTTTTTCTTCTACATTTCCTCCAGAACTTTTAAGTTCTCCATACGAACACAATTTATGAGAAACACTTGAGATTGTCTTCCTTCCTGATAAAGGAAGTCATCCTTAAGATGAGAGATGGGAACGATAACTTGAAAGTTGCTGACATGACTGTATCATTTTAAGTGTACGCATGGCTTATTAAATGAGTATTTCTTTCAGAGATCATTTACTCTTTTCATTTTATCGAATCTAACTTTGCTATCTTTTCATAACAACTTACAGCAAAATAAGCAAATACTGGAGAATATATATGAGACAATTTGTGAATATTACAACAATATAAACTCGTGAATTCGCGTGATTCACTATTTTGTATTCGTATGTATTTTCTTAAATCTATGAAGCTCAACAGGAACGACTTTACAAAAAAAGAAACGGAGAGAATAATGAATTACTATGAAAAATTCACGTATATGTTGCACGCCTTTATTTGAACGTGTGAAACTTTTTTTTCTTATAATATTCATTTTACAAACTTACTGGTCTTTATATTATTTCTCTTGTTGAATTTATTTTGAAATCAGTAGCAAAGTCTTCTATAATTAACATAAATATTTTTTTTTAATCAGCAACAACGTTACCAGTATTTAGGTTAAGTAACTTATCTTATTTTTTTTAATTTGCCATTTAAGATTTTGCAAGAATGTGTTTTGGACTCTATTAATATAACTATCACTAAATACTTGATACTAAATGTGTTTGTAAACTGGTGTAATATAACCTACATTTCTTAATACTAAATATGTGACTATAAACTAATGTTATATAACCATCACTTCTTAACACTAAATATGTGACTATAAATTGATGTTATATAACCATCACTTCTTAACACTAAATATGTTGCTGTAAAGTGATGTTATATAGCCATCATTACTTAACACTAAATATGTGGCTATAAATTGATGTTATATAACCATCACTTCTTAACACTAAATATGTTGCTGTAAAGTGATGTTATATAACCATCATTACTTAACACTAAATATGTGGCTATAAACTGATGTTATATAACCATCACGTCTTAACACTAAATATGTTGCTGTAAAGTGATGTTATATAACCATCACGTCTTAACACTAAATATGTTGCTGTAAAGTGATGTTATATAACCATCATTACTTAACACTAAATATGTGGCTATAAACTGATGTTATATAACCATCACGTCTTAACACTAAATATGTTGCTGTAAAGTGATGTTATTCAGCACGATGACAACAACCTGTTAGCTGCGTTAGTGACATTTTCATAAAAGACTGATTTTTCTAATGTATTTCTTATAGTGACTGAAGAATGCATGACCAGTTTCTTGTTTTATATCAGCTTTCATTTCTGTGTTATAACTGTTTTTAATCTCTCGTGCTTGCTTTGTTATATGCACAGCTTAATAACGTACAACCCGATTTCAGTAAAGTTGTCATCAACAAACATCTATGTTCTATAAAATAAGCACAAATAAAGCTTTAAAACAACGTATTCAAAGTAAACCGATACGACAACCTGGGCTGGCAATAATCTTAGTGTGAGACCATATACACGACTGATATATTAGATACAAATAAAACATTGTTCTTCGTAACACACACACAAAAATAAAATAGGGTTTGTGAAAAAAACGTAAACGTTGCAAAAACAGAAGTTCCAATGTTATGCGCCCCTTTTAATTCTTGTTGCGAACGGTGTTTCGTCCCTTAAACTTCAAACCAGGAATTCATACAGTTTTCGTCCATGTTAATTCTTGTTGCGAACGGTGTATCGTCCCTTAAACTTTAGACCTGGAATTCAAACAGTTTTCGTCCATGTTAATTCTTGTTGCGAACGATGTTTCGTCTCTTAAACTTTAGAACTGGAACTCATACAGTTTTCGTCCATGTTAATTCTTGTTGCGAACGGTGTATCGTCCCTTAAACTTCAAACCTGGAATTCATACACATTTCGTCCATGTTAATTCGTGTTGCGAAGGGTGTTTCGTTCCTTAAACTGCAAACCTGGAATTCATACAGTTTTCGTCCACGTTAATTCTTGTTGGGAATGACGTTTCGTCTCATGTACTTCAGACCCAAAATTTGTATGGTCTTCATCCATTTTTATATTTATTTTCAACGACGTTTCGTCCTCTATCTCTCAGACCCGAAATTCGTGTTGTTTTTGTCCATTTTAATTTTTGTTGTGAACGACGTTTCGTTTTTTATACATTAGAACTAAAGTTCCTGTCGTTTTCGTACATCTTAATTATTATTGTGATCAACGTTTCACCCTCTATACCTCAGACTCGAAACTGTTATTGATACGTTTCTTTGTATTCTTGTTGTGGGCGAAGTTTAGTCTTCTATATTTCACACTCGAATATTTCATGGACCTTTTTACTATTGTTATAGAAAAAGTTTGGTCCTTCATATTGAGTCATCTTACGTACTTGAAACTCTTCTGATTTACCCTTACTCTGTATATTTTGTTGTTAAAGACATTTCGATCATTATAATGAGTCATCTTACTGACTTTTAACTCTTCTGATTTGCTCTTACTCTATATATTTTGTTGTTAAAGACATTTCGATCATTATAATGAGTCATCTTACTGACTTTTAGCTCTTCTGATCTGCTCTTACTTTGTTGTTATATATTTTGTTGTTAAAGACATTTCGATCATTATAATGAGTCATCTTACTGACTTTTAGCTCTTCTGATTTGCTCTTCCTCTATATATTTTGTTGTTAAAGACATTTCGATCATTATAATAAGTCATCTTACTGACTTTTAGCTCTTCTGATCTGCTCTTACTTTGTTGTTATATATTTTGTTGTTAAAGACATTTCGATCATTATAATGATTCATCTTACTGACTTTTAGCTCTTCTGATTTGCTCTTACTCTATATATTTTGTTGTTAAAGACATTTCGTTCTTCACACTGAGCCATTTTACAGACTTGTAACTCATGATTTGCTCTTACTCTATATATTTTGTTGTTAAAGACATTTCGTTCTTCACACTGAGCCATTTTACGGACTTGTAACTCATGATTTTCTCTTACTCTATATATTTTGTTGTTAAAGAAATTTCGTTCTTTACATTGAGCCATTTTACGGACTTGTAACTCATGATTTTCTTTTACTCTGTATATTTTGTTGTTAAAGGCGTTTCGTTCTTTACACTGAGCCATTTTACGGACTTGTAACTCATGATTTTCTTTTACTCTGTATATTTTGTTGTTAAAGGCATTTCGTTCTTTGTATTGAGTTCTTTTCAGAGACGTTTTTATGGACTACATTTATATTGATTCTTACAATAGATAGCGTGTCATCCTCTAAACCGGATCTTTCTTCGGACTGGAAGTATTTTATTTTATACATATTGTTGCCTTGGTTCTTAAAGTGGACATTGTTTCTTTTGAGAGAAGCATTCTGTATTATGTGTGTCTTTATATATATATTTATTATTTAATATTAATTGCCGATCAGAGCAAACTGTCTACTTGCAGCGAAATCAAAATTCAATCTGGTAATGAATATAGCTAATTAAATATACTTTAGTTACGTTATTAATTATAAAGATTAGAATTCATTGTTTCGTTAGTTGGGTACTCTCGTTATAAACGATATTTTCGGCCGTAATCCCAATAATATCTCACGAAGTTCGGCCAGCTTGGAATATTTAGGTATGTCCTAAGTATCTATGTTAATCTAACAATGCAAAACCATCTCTGCACTAGAAGTATAATAATATAAAATAAATTTAAAGAGTAATGAAATTAGATATATTAAACATTAATGAATCCTGTTAATGAAAGCAACAATAAAGAAATAATAGAATACACCATACCCATGGAACACAACTCTAGTTAATTTTGTAAGTATAGGTCTGTTACCTTAGAGTCATATGCTGGTTTAATTACAAATCATAAAAAGTTGTCACTGAAATGATGGTTACAAAAATAGAACTATTTTGGCACTTACATTTTTAAGTTATCAGGAGATAGAAAGTGTTTTATTTTTGTATGCAGTTGTATTTTTCAAAATATTTTACAATAAGCTAACTCGTTTCCACCCACAACAAACACATCGTACAAGGCTTGCTTATAATTTAAAAAAAAATTTACAAAAATGAAAATTCATCGACCTTAGATATTTATATGTCTGTCTGTGTTTAAAACAGATAATAAAAGGCACGCTGTACATCAGTAGTATTTTATTTCAGGATCTTCATCGAACAGGATGTAGCATGTTCAGTGGGGAAGAGGCTGAAAATAACCAGGCGTTGTTGAAACGTGTGTTATTAGCGTACGCACGCTGGAACAAGGTCGTTGGCTATTGTCAAGGGTTCAATATGCTGGCAGCAATTATATTAGAAGTTATGGAATGGAAAGATGAAGATGCCTTGAAGGTAAAAGCTTCCTAAATAAGAACATTCTGTCTTTCGTAAGTATACGGTTTGTTTGTTTAGTTGCCAGACAGTTTTCTATCTCACGTTTCTATTTAATGGCAAGGGCGCCCGACATGCGAGTTCGAATCCAGTCGCCAAACATGCTTGCCCGTGCAGCGGTGGGGGCGTTATAATGTTACGCCCAATCTCACATTTCTTTGATAAAGAGTAACCCAAGAGTTAGCGGTGGGTGGTGTTGATCAGCTGCCTTTCCTCTACTCTATCACTTCAGAATTGGGGACGGCTACCTCAGAAAGCCTTTGAGTAGCTTTGCGTGAATTCAAACAAACTGTTTAGTATTTACTCTATGCCAAATTCATTTTTAAGTAAGCAACTGAGAGCCTTAAAAATGCAACGAGAAACACTACTGAAGTTTCAAAACGGTACGACCCAAAAATAGCGTAGCCCAGCGTTTTCTAAACTTTTGTTATCCACGCCCCCTTTAATAGTATGGTTTCTTGCGTACCCCCCACCCCTAAATGAGTGGAAGAGCGAGTTGAGTGACGAGATGTAATACACAGATACTTATCAAAACACTACATGTGTAGTAGTAATTACTAATTATTTTCATTAATAAAAAATATACTAAAATGCTCAATTTTGCACTATTGCACTATTGACTCTATACCCTAATCACTCGCGCCCATCAATTTGGGAAACGCTGGCGTAGCTAAAATTACCTCTTAACATTGTGTGGTCAAATCTTTTGGGATTCTTATAAAACCATTTCGTAATATTTTAGTGAAATAAGGAGGGTTAGGCTCTACTTTTTTCCTGTAAGATAAATTAAGGTTTGGTTCTTCATAAGAGGGGCCCGGGTGTGGATTTAACAGTTAGCGTATAGGACTGGGGATCGAAAGGCATCGAGTTAAAGATGTAACTATACCAACAACTTTGCATTATAAGAATGACAGTCAATTCCGCTATTCAATAAGAGGCTTGTGCTGCCGACTGATTGCCTGAAATTGTCCGCTTAGCTCATCAGGTGCATACGGTGTCATTCAAATTAGCAAACAAAACAACTTAACAACAGCCAGTGATATATATCTTCGTTCGATTCGCAACGGTGGAGTTTCATCATAGTATTCTTAAACTATACAGAATATTTTATGCTCGCAATTTCTTCTAAACGTTTTAACTTTCCAAAAAGTGTTAAAAGACTGAATAATGTGATACAAAAATACATTCCCGAAGGAGAAACATAACTGAATAAGAAGGTTTAAACGCTTATTTATATATTTGTTTGTGTTATGTTATAGTCACGTTTAACGAAAATTCCATAAATTACAAATATGTTTAATATATTGGTTTTTAACTCCCAACAATGTAAATTTTTATTTCTATACATTAGCATATGAGCTAAATGTAAGCCTAAGTCGTAGTAACTTTGTTTAAGCGCAATGGATTATCTGTGCTGTGCCCATCTGAGGGATGGAAACCAGATTTGTAGCTTTGCAAGATTTACCAGTGAGCCACCGAGGGTGCACACTAATAATTTATTTTTTCCATACTTTTACGCTGTTAGTTTAAATTATTGTCGTTGTTTTTATTACTGTTTGTAAGAAATAAATGGACTTTGAAATGAGAGCGGCCACATAACAGGCATCACACATTATGGCATAAGCTTACATAAAAAAATATCATAAGAAACTGAAATAAGTTTACGGTGTTTCTTGCTCATCCATCTACTTCGTATTATTTATTTAAGCCACACGTTTTCCTTTGAGAAATGTTTATGAACTCTGAGCCCTTTTGTGTGTGTGTATGTGTTTTTCTTAATGAATAGAAAGCTCAAAATATTTGAAGTGAAAATACTGTAACAGCTAGTTTCGGAAAGAAGAAGAATGAGATAAAATTTTGAAAATCCTTTGAGCAGACGACATTTCTAAATGTAGCTACAACATGAAACACTAGCTAAGTGCATTTGAAATCGGACAACCAGGGGTAGGCTGACTTAGTCACATAATAGACTTTTATACAGCGTGTTGTCACGGTAACGTCCCACAATAATTTATGAATGCACGTTTACTAAATTAGACGAAGTCCTTTCCCAAGAACTTAATTTGATGATGTAGGGTTGTTTTTGTTTTTTTTTTGTTTTTTGTCATTAAATTCATGCGTTGAATTCATGAAATGTCAGTTTTATGTTTCATTATTACGTTGTTGTGGGTAGATCTCTTTAGAACTAGATGATCTTAACAAACATATCGTATGTTAATAATGATGATCTTAACAATCATATCGTATGTTATCTTATTCTAGAAATGCCCGCTTCTTGCGACACTAATGTTTTATACATTTTATATACCTGTCCTTGCATATAGCATTAATGTTTAAAGTATTCCAACGTTTTTTACCTATATTTGTTTTCTCCAAATATTAATGCCTATAAACAATAAACAGTGTTTTATATGAAATATCTGATGACGGGAATATAATATTTCTTAGCAAGAAATAAAATCCCCCATAGTAATCACAGTGATAATGGGACGAAGATATTATAGTATAGCAAAATGATAACGTGATGAAGATCTTACAGTATGATGAAGTGATAATGTTATGAAGATGTTATAATATGAAGAAGTGATAATGTTATGAAGATGTTATAATATGATGAAGTGGTAATGTTATGAAGATGTTATAATATGATGAAGTGATAATGTTATGAAGATGTTATAATATGATGAAGTGATAATATTATGAAGATGTTATAAAATGATGAAGTGATAATGTTATGAAGATGTTATAATATGATGAAGTGATAATGTTATGAAGATGTTATAAATTAATGAAGTGATAATGTTATGAAGATGTCGTCTCCAACACATAGGTTTTTTTAGGTTATAGTCGTCTCCAACTCATAGTTTTGTTAGGTTATAGTCGTCTCCAACACATAGTTTTTTTAGGTTATAGTCGTCTTTAACTCATAGCTTTGTTAGGTTATAGTCGTCTCCAACTCATAATTTGTTTAGGTGATAGTCGTCTCCAACTCATAGTTTTGTTAGATTATAGTCGTCTCCAACTCATAGTTTTATTAGGTTATAGTCGTCTCCAACTCATAATTTTGTTCGGTTATAGCCGTCTCCAACTCATAGTTTTGTTAGGTTATAGTCGTCTCAAACCCATGGTTTTGTTAGGTTATCGTCTCCCGCCAAAAGGCCGCGCCCAACAGCCACCGGTACGCACCCCTTCCTTCTTCTTTATCATGTTATAACATCTTCATAACATTATCACTTCATCATATTATAACTCTCCAATTCATAGTTTTGTTAGGTTATAGTCGTCTCCAATTCATAGTTTTGTTAGGTTATAGTCGTCTCCAACTCATAGTTTTTTTAGGTTATAGTCGTCTCCAACTCATAGTTTTGTTAGGTTATACGACTATAACCTAACAAAACTATGAGTTGGAGACGACTATAACCTAACAAAACCATGAGTTGGAGACGAATATAACCTAACAAAACTATGAGTTGGAGACGACTATAACCTAAAAAAACTATTACTTTACCCTCAAGTTCCTTTTTTTTTTTTTGCTCTCTCATTTACTCACATCGAACAAGCATTTTTTCATTTGAAAAGCCCTATTAAAAACAAGTAAAAAAATGTTGAGTTTACTGTTATCACTTGCGAAATTTGTTTTAATGTGAAGGGGGCGCAACGGAGACTTTGCTGAGTGAGGGGGGCGTCGTTATTTAAATTTTGGAAAACACTGAATCATAGTATGATAATAATGTTATGAAGAACTTATAGTACGATAAAGAGAAGATAATATAACAATAAGTTATAGTATTATAAAGAAGAGATAATATAACAAGAACTTATAGTACGATAAAGAGAATGTAATATAACAAGAAGTTATAGTATTATAAAGAAGAGATAATATAACAAGAACTTATAGTACGATAAAGAGAAGATAATATAACAAGAAGTTTTAGTATTATAAAGAAGAGATAATATAACAAGAACTTATAGTACGATAAAGAGAAGATAATATAACAAGAAGTTATAATATTATAAAGAAGAGATAATATAACAAGAAGTTATAGTACGATAAAGAGAAGATAATATAACAAGAAGTTATAGTATTATAAAGAAGAGATAATATAACAAGAACTTATAGTACGATAAAGAGAAGATAATATAACAAGAAGTTATAGTATTACAAAGAAGAGATAATATAACAAGAACTTATAATGTGACGGAGAAGTTATAATATGACAAGAATAACGGAGAAGTTATTTCATTTAACTGGTTCAAAACAGAGAATTTATCTCGGTTGTCAATGGATGTAGTATGAGAAACACTGTCAAATAAATAAAATTATCAATAGTTGTTCTTCACATTCCTTAATTCTTTTTCTATCAGGGGTTCCTTTTGACGAGTCAAATTACTTGACGATAAGCCACTAAAATCTTACAAAAAACTTACAAACAGTTTTCGAATGGTTAGGTTTTGTTTTAATCATAAACTTCTTTACTGGGGGTTAAAGCACGTGGAAATAACCAAAGTTCCTAAGCCTAATCTTGACGAAATAGTTACTGACTCATTATCCACAAAGAATTTTCATGGAAGACATGAAGTTTAAAGGTTACTTTGAAAAACTATAAACACAATTTATGTATTTATTATATTATTTTGTTCTTTTGAAGTTGTTGTTCTTATTGTTTTAATAGTTACGGAATAATTTTACAATCAAGTTCGTAAACTTCTTACTGCACAATTTTTATGTTGTTGCTAGGTGATGATATTCCTCATAGAGGGCGTACTTCCAGAAGGTTATTTTGCCAATCATCTGAGGGGACTTTCCGTGGATATGGCAGTATTTAGAGATCTACTGCGTATGCGCTTAATTTGCTTGTCACGCCATTTGGACAAGCTCCAGGCTGAAGCTAGAGATAGTTCTACAGGTAGACCTCTACTTTTCCAAAATTAATTTCTACTTTAATTACCACCAAATGTTCTAAAATTATTTTTCCTACAATATAAATAGATACAAAACATAATTTTTTTAGTTTTCGTATTTGTCAGATGTAATTATCAAACAGGTTATCAGAGAATCATTAGTCTTTTAAAACGTATATATGACTTAAGTTTGATCGTTGTGTAGCATTAATGTTTTAACGTTTCTTTTCCCATTCGAAATGTACTAGAAGTCAGTAATTAGGGTATGATTTACATGTGTGGTGCATCATAATAAAAATTAAGTAACTTTTTTATTTTCCTCAGTCATCTGCAGAGAGAAATAGTCTCTCAGAATTTAACCTGTTCACATTTTTGTTTAACTACATACAAGTTTAATGAATATTATTTCATAGATCATTTAGGCAGAGTCTTCATGATGAACAAGTTAAAATAAGCACCAACCGTTTAACTCAGAATGACACTTGAGGAGAAACTCTGTGAGGAATAATCAACTAAAGTGGTTCAGGTGAAAAGGACGACGTTTCGAAAAGCGAAAGTCTTGAACTAAACTTATTGTCCAAAATAAAACTTAGTTGCTTCTTCTCTTATCTAACTTACTAGTGCTTATTATTTGACAGAGCTGGCTGATCATTTTTTAAAAGATAACAATTATAGTTTAGCTAATTCAAAAAGTTTTTCTTCGAAAAGGTAAAACAAATTATTTTATTCATTTATTGTTGGAAATACAAATTTTATCTTCAATGAGTGATTTTCTTTTGTGTGCAAGAAAATTAAAGTTTTTCTCCAAAAAACAAAACAGATTTTTCGTTTAAAATTTCGAAATTGTAAACAGTTTATCTCCGAGGTTTTGTAGAAGGAAAGAGATGTTTCTATTTCTGGCGTGAGATAACGTTCACTTATAAAACTCTGGTAACAGGAACTACAGTAGAATTTCAGCTTGTTTGAAAAAAGTTATTTATCTTAAACTTAACATTACAATTTTTTTCATGGGTGTCTTATGTCTAGGGGCCAGTTATGAACCGCCACTGACCAACGTCTTTACCATGCAGTGGTTCCTCACACTTTTCTCTACTTGTCTGCCAAAGTCGACCGTTTTGCAGGTGTGGGACCTGATATTCCTGGAAGGAAATGAAATTCTTCTTCGAGCAGCTCTTGCAATATGGGATGGATTAGCAGAGTGGGTCACGTTTATTATTGAGCAACTTCAATCAGAAATTACGTTCGTCCAAGTAGAACGACATAAAATTTATCTTGAGTCCCCACTGAGATTACTTACAAACAAGTCATGTAAAATGTGTAAGAAATAGTATAGGTTTTATTTTATCGTCTCATCACTATTCTGGTTTTATATTACACTTAATTAAATCTGTAACATAAAGTGCTTGCTGAAGGCATTTCTGTTACAATCTGTTTTCACTAGTTAACTCCTTATTCATCTTGTCTTCACCAGCTTATCTTGTAATCGCCAGTTTTATTGTTTAACTTTTTCTTTAATAACCAACTTCTAGCTGTCTCTTCTTGTTAGCTCTACGGTGTAATCTGTATTCACTAATCAACTTCTTCCTGTACATTATCTTAGCTTGCCGGCTCTCTGTTATATGCTTTCACTAGCCAGCTTCCCGCTGTGCTCTGTTTTTTGCTTACTAGCTCTCCGTTAAAATCTGTTTTCACTAGCTAGTTCCTTATTAAACTTTTTTTTCTCACTTGACAGAATAATTTTCGTTTTCTTTGCATCACTCCAGATTAAAAGTTTAAAGTTCCAATGCTAAAAAAATGAAACTAGTTACCAGGAAACCTCATTGGTTTAAGATGTACAACTAATTCTAAAGTAAATCAGATAGTCTAAAATAACTATTTTTTGTTCTCGACTTTACATGGAGAATAAAATGTCCACATTACTGACTTTCTTACTGGCAAAACAAATAGAACCAGAATTTCCAAATATAAAATTTTACTCTATTGTAAAGTAGTCATAAAAGTAGTATTTAAGGAAAGGTATAATGATGAAAGCTGAGATTTTATACAAACACTAAGCTTTAGACAGACAAAGTGGGGAAGCCAGTAATGTAGGGATCTTATTCTCCATGTAATGTCGAGATAGCTTAGTCTGCTATGTAATAAAATTTCTAGTTCCATGTTAACACGAGAGTCTTATCTACAAATGTTTTCAAAGTTTCTAGTTCCATGTTAACACGATAGTCTTTTTATACAGGATAGGGATGGAAGTGGACATATTATTTGATCTGGCTAATCAAAAACATTTGTAGATAAGACTCTCGTGTTAACATGGAACTAGAAACTTTAAAAACATTTGTAGATATATAGAGAGATTTGTGAATTTTTTTACATTTTGTTTGTAATATAATTGTTATTAATGTTTTTATATTTCAGCCTATTTTTCTGTTTAACTTAAGCACAGTGTTATAATTTTTTATATGCAGTCGGATGATTAACTTAAGAACAGTGTTATAAATACCATTTTAATCTACAGTCGCATAATTAACTTAAGAACAGTGGAACAGTTATAAATAAAATTTTTGATCAACAGTCGGATAATGACAGTGGAAAGTGCAGATGAGTTTTACAGCATCATGGGCGTGTTAACAAGAGAGATGCTGGAGTTTGGACTTATGGATCCCAACGACCTCGTTAAGGTGATTTGTTTTCTAATCCTTATCAATTTAATAGCACGTGTAATTTGCAGCTTTTATTAAAACCTTTAAAAATGCCGATATGTGTGAGAAAACGTCAGAATAGAAACTGTATAACATAGTGTGAACTTGCGGATGGAATAATCCGCAAGTTCACACCTTTTAATTATGATCCAGGTTCATTTCAAAATATATTTTGATTTTAAATATTGATGGCACTGCTAAGCTCTCAGTATTTTTATTTATTTTTCTTTTTTAAACATTCAAACGTTGTATTATGTATTGGATGAAATTTGTTTAAATGTTTGTTCTTCAACATTTAAAAATTTTAGTTTGACTGACTAGGTAATAAAGAATATTTTGAAAACATGACTCATGCTGAGGAAGTAAGTAGTAATAACAACAGTTAATATAATCTGTGTTGGCAAATCACGCGTGTATACATCTAGTACGATCTGAGATATGCTGTTCGTATATATGAAATGTGAACCCACTGGGGACACGAATTCACTATTTGGAAAATTTACGCAATTAAAAGAACAATGTGTGCAGTCAGTCCATACGTGTATGTGTGCTTCATATGGAAACCCAATATTCCTATTGGCTAATTGTACAGCGGTACTTTTACGTTTATACGAGTGCAAAAGTGAACGACGTTTAACATGCATTGTTCTATACGATTGCAAAAATACGACGTTTATAGCATTAATTTTAAAGACAGTTACTTCAGTAACATAAAACAATCACGCAAGGAAACACATTAAGTTAAATCTTCACATTTCCGTGGCTTATAAATAACATAATACCATTACATCATAATACAGACGCATAAAAATTGGCAATTAGACCTAAAGTTTAAATACGCTTCACACGCGAAGCACGAGTTTACCCGTTTTATAATATACAAGCAAAAGTACTCGTCTCTAGTGACGGGACAAGTTTAAATTAATCTATCAATTTAAATTACTTCATGTACTTTAAAAAGGTTAATTGTGTTGCAGCCTTGGTTTCACTCAGAGCCAAAGCTCTGAGCTACTCATACCACCCACCGAGAAAAGTAATTGTTGAGCATTTCAGTCATGCTAAGAACCGCTCAATAATAACATATGGTAAATTCACGATTTTATTATTTAAGTTGCGTCACATTTTAAATTGTGAATGATAGCGTGATTAGTTCCTAACAATTTAGTGTACAATATCATGTTTGCGAAATAAAATTTGGCATCAGCATTATTCATATTGGAAAAGCTGTGCACGCAGGCAAAACTCAACATTCACTTTCGAAATGACGAGAGACAGTTTTTTTTGTTTGTTTGTTAAAACTACACGGGGGCTATCTGCGCTAGTCGTCCCTAATTTAGCAGTGTAAGACTAGAGGGAAGGCAGCTAGTCTTCACCACCCACCGCCAACTCTTGGGCTACTCTTTTACCAACGAATAGTGGGATTGACCGTCACATTATAACGCCCCCACGGCTGAAAGGGCGAGCATGTTTGGTGTAACGGTGATTCGAACCCGCAGATTGGAGTCGAGCACCCTAACCACCTGGCCATGCCTAACGACGGGAGACAGATGAACGCCCGAACAGACACCACGGTTCGCAATAAGTATAAGATGGAAATTAGACTTAATAGTCACTGCCACAACTTCATTCATTTTCGAAGTTCTACAGCTAACACATTGCCTGAAAGAAAATAAAAAAATTCGACGTAAACAAATATACACACAAGAAATGTACAAAAATAAAAACATGACGACAATTAATGTTTACACTTCCTGGTACCATAATCTAAAAATTCTTTATTTTATAACGTCGCTTTATCAAGAGTTTGGTCAAGATAACATTTCAAGATTTTAGTCAAAGAGATGGCGATTATCCAGAAATACAAGGTACATATTTATACATAAAATTTTGTATACAGAGACATATTTTGTTTATATTCATTCTATGTTTTTCCACTTCTTTACTTTAAATATAAATACAACAACCCCATAGACTGCTTAGTAGGTTTTTGTTTCATTCATGTCCGTATTACATAATACAACAACAACAACATTAGTTACAGCACTATTTAAATTACCTATGTAAGACATATATACCCTTCTCATATGTATAGTATTCCACTTTAAAATGCTGTATCAGTAAAAAAAAATATATCTTTCGGCGTTGGCTCATATGGCACAGCTCACGTTTCGTATGTGGGAGGTCTAGGATTCATTCTCGTCTCTGTCTTTTCTTTTTTTTTTCTTTTGTTTGCTAAACAATGTTTGAGTAGTCAAATAATACTAATGGATACAGCTCGAGTTTATCCCCTAGTTACAAATTAAAATCCCCCAGTATGTCTGCGGACTTACAACGCTAAAAACCGGGTTTCGATACCCTTGGTGGGCAGATCACAGATACCTTATTGTGTAGCTTTGTGCTTAACTACAAACAAACAAATTATAATCTCAGACAGTACCAAAAGCATAGCCGAGGGAGGGGAGGAGAGGGGAGGTGGTCGAACGACCGCCTAAATACTCTAAAAAATCTAAAAGGTCTACTATCTTCTGATTTTTCGTAAATAAAGACTTGAATGTCATGAAAATCACTTATACTCTTTTTGTAGAAGAAAAAGTCCACATTTGTATGTAAAAAGACCCTTCCCCACCAGCCACCACCTCTCTGTAGTGCTGGATACGCCCCAGCAGTACACATAATATTATTTGGGTTTATATAGTCTGGATGGAAAAGTTTACAATGAAATTAAGAAGGTGTAGTATAGAACAGTGTGGGCCCATTTTTAGCACAGAATTATAGATCTTAATTACTTATAGATCTTATAGATCACTAAAGTCTTAATTACTATCTAAGTAATTATAGATCACTAAAGTCTTAATTAATATCTAAGTAATTATAGATCACTAAAGTCTTAATTACTATCTAAGTAATTATAGATCACTAAAGTCTTAATTACTATCTAAGTAATTATAGATCACTAAAGTCTTAATTACTATCTAAGTAATTATAGATCACTAAAGTCTTAATTACTAAGTAAATATAGATCACTAAAGTCTTAATCACTATCTAAGTAAATACAAATCAATGAAGTCTTAATTACTATCTAAGTAAATACAGATCAATGAAGTCTTAATTACTATCTAAGTAAATACAGATCGGCCCGGCATGGCCAAGTGGTTAGGCGCTCGACTCGCAATCTGAGGGTCGCGGGTTCGAATCCCCGTCCCGCTAAACATGCTCGCCCTTTCAGCCGTGGGGGCGTTATAATGTTACGGTTAATCCCACTATTCGGTGGTAAAAGAGTAGCCCAAGAGTTGGCGGTGGGTGGTGATGACTAGCTGCCTTCCCTCTAGTCTTACACTGCTAAATTAGGGACGGCTAGCGCAGATAGCCCTCGTGTAGCTTTGCGCGAAATTCAAAACAAACAAACAAATACAGATCACTGAAGTCTTAATTACTATGTAAGTAGATACTAAAAACAACGATAAACTACAGCTACCATCACGATAATTCCTGTCATCGTTAATTTTATACAATAGCTGTATTTCGCAGTTGACTTTGGGCTAAATGTTTAATTTTTTTTTATTTGTTTTATTCGGTGTAGACAATTTGCACAATATCGCCGTTTCCGTTTCCTCAACTAGTTGACCTCCGGGACAAATACACTTATAACATTCGTCCATTCACGTCGTCACTTACTCAAAAACGTGGTCTCAACCTGTTCTTCAGCGATGATGAGGAAGACAATGATGATGAGCAGCTAGTCATGGCCACCTGGTGTCTCTCGGGATCACTACCTGTCCCCAAAGGCAAAGGTAAGATACAAATAACTTTTTGTTGTTGTGTCATTTTTCTGTAGACGAAGATTCTATTCCCTTTAGATTGTGATAACCCTTTTTTGTCAAGATGAACGTACATTACGCACAAATAAGTCATTTATTTTATCGTATTCAGCACAAATATGTGTTATCCGTACTGTGCCCACCGCAGGGATGGAACCCAGAAATTTAGCGTTACTTCTTAATCATAAAGGGGCAAGCAGAAGGTAGTGTTCACACAGGGTTTGTAATCTCAACTAAATAAACTTTAAACATTATTTCCCCTCATATTTTGGATCGTTAAATCAAATAATAATAATGTCAAGCAAAAATTTATTGAAACTTATTGGTCTTTTATTTTAAATTGTAAATAAACGTTAAAAACAATTTAATTGCTTTTACGATAATAGTAACTTACCAAGCTAACTAAAAAAAAAAAAAGCCCCCAGTGGCACAGCGGTATTTCTGCGGTCTTACAACGCTTGAAACCGGGTTTCGATTATTGAAACTTGTTGGTCTATTTTTTAAATTGTAAATAAGCGTTCAAACAATTTAACTGATTTTACGCTGATAGAAACTTATCAAGCTTAAGCTAACTAGAAGAGAAAAAAAAAGCCCCCCAGTGGCACAGCGGTATGTGTGCGGACTTACAACGCTAGAAACCGGGTTTCGATACCCTTGGTGGGCAAAACACAGATAGCCTATTGTGTAGCTTTGTGCTTGATTACAAATAAGGAAACAAAACTAAAAAAAAGGTATTAATATGCCAGATGCAAACATTTAATCTATTTGCTCCAGTTTGAGCCATAGAAGACATTTACCATTGTATTATTAAACACCTGTATCTATCAAACTGTATCTATCTATTTACCTAATAATAGAATCATAAAATTAGAAATAACAAAAGTTAGCTAATTGGACAGAAGAGTGGCTGTATGGAAGAAAGCAGAGGGCTGTTTTAAATGGAGTTCATTCAAACCGGATTAATGTCACAAGTGGGGTACCTCAGGGCTCAGTCTTAGGACCTTTGCTCGTTTTGATTTATATCAATAACATAGACGAAAGAATGGTCAATAGATTACTTAAATTTGCAGATGATATTGAGATTTTGGGTCTTACTAACTGTGAAGAGGATACTGTTGATTTATAAAAGGATTTAGATAATTTAGTGAGTTGAGCAAATAAATGACAAATAGGTTTTAATTATAATAAATGCAAGATAATGCATGTGGGTTTTCGTAATTTTAATTATAAGTATAATTAGGAAGGGAATAACCTTAACGATGTCATGAAAGAAAAGGGATCTTGGCGTAATAGTTGATCAGTTTCTAAAGCCATCCAAGCAGTGTGCTGTTGTTAGCGGTAGGGCAAATAGTATTTTTGGTTGTATCTAAAGAAATATTGAACACAAGTCTAAAGAGGTTATAATTTCATTGTAATGGTCATTGGTTAGGCCACATTTGGAGTATTGTGTTCAGTCTTGGGCTCCTTACCTTAGGAAGGACATTAAATTGTTAGAAAGAGTTCAGAGGATGGTTACTAGAATGGTGCCTGGGATGGAGTGTTTGTCATATGAGAAGAGGTAAAGATCTGTAAAATTATTTTCTCTTGGAAAAATATGAGTTAGAGAGGATCTAATTGAGGTGTTTAAGGTTGTAAAGGGAATTGATAATGTTGATGCATCATCTTTTCTCGTACTTAATGACGAGAATAGTAGGACTAGGGAACACAAATATACATTTTGGCAAGGTAGGAGCTATTTTCAGCTAAGAAAGTTTTAGTTTTTTCTAACAGGGTGTTTAGCTTCTGGAACGAGTTGCCTTCGGATGTTGTGGAGGCAGTAAATTTAAGTGAGTTTAAGTAAAAGTTTGTTAACTATATGAATGATACGGGCTGGCTTTAAGATTTTTTAAAATGTATAATAGTTTAGTTGAAAGGATGCGACAGCCGAGATGGACCAATAGGTCCCTTGTTGTCCTTAAACATTATGTTATGTTAAAAGCAAAGTTGTTGGATTTATGACCCCCCCCCACAGATGGCTCAACGATAAGTCTGAGGGCTTATAACGTTGAAAATTAGGTTTCGATACCTGTGGTACACACAGCACAAATAGCTCATTGTGTAGCTTTGTGCTTTACAACAAACAAACAAACATCTTGGTTTTATGCTGATTTATTCAATAATAAATTCCAAAAAGTATATTATCATTGTCATGGTTAGTAGTCTTTTCGATAATCTAATTATTAAGTAGTTACTAATTGCATTATATCATAAGTTTCGATTGCCTACCTCCTGCTGTCTCCAGAAAGTCCAAAGAAGAAATATATTTTTTGGTAATTCGATCCTGAATGTTTATGGTGTGATGGCTGATACTGAAACTACGATATAAACTAAATAGTAATTAGTATCCAGTAAAAAAGAAGTAACTAAATAATAATTAGGCTTAGGTAATCGAATAGACAGGTGGCTAGGGCGCTCAACTCGTAATCTGAAGGTCGCGGGTT